TTTTTTTTTGAGTTTTACGCATCTTAAGCAAGATTTAAATTTTCTTACGAATACATATACGAATTTCTAGATTCTCCGACGTGCCCTTCCTGCTGTGGCGCAATCTGTGGGTATGAATGCGGTTACTTCCCAAATGCCGCTTTCACAAGTTCCTGCACCATCTCCCGGATTGGTACCAACGCCAGGATTAGCTCCCGCTGTTGTTCCTGCGGCCACTTCCCCTACAGGATTTGCCAGTTTGCGACGTGCACATAGTGAGGGAGATGATTTGGATATAACTAGGTGAATCGCATATTATGTACGTTTTCATCACTTAATAGCATTTTTCTTCTTCAGAGCAACTGCTAGTCAACGAGCAGCCTTCAATGTGGATAAGGCTACTGAGTCGAACAATGATACCCCGCTTACGTTAGCCTGTTCTAATGGACACGCTCAGATGGTGAATGTTTTGGTTTGTCGAGGAGCAAACATCGAGCATCGGGACAAGAAGGTGAGCTAATCATAATGAAAAATTACGTTAAGGTTTTATTGTTTCCAGGGGTTTACACCACTTATTCTGGCTGCTACTGGTGGTCATCGCGATGTTGTAGAGTTGCTTCTAAACAATGGAGCGCAAATCGAAGCTCAATCCGAACGTACGAAGGATACTGCATTATCATTGGCCTGTTCTGGAGGACGTAAAGACGTAGTCGAGTTACTTTTAAGTCGTGGCGCTAATAAGGTGAACTCGCACTATCTCCCTCTCCCGTGGTCTGAATTGCCATATTCTCATTTTTAGGAACACCGTAATGTTAGTGATTACACTCCTTTATCACTGGCTGCTTCCGGAGGATATGTGGAAATAGTGAACATGTTGCTGAATGCCGGTGCGGAGATCAATTCAAGAACTGGAAGCAAGGTAAAATGCTATCTTTGCACCAACATATATTTAAAACAATTTTCTAGTTGGGCATATCCCCATTGATGTTAGCAGCTATGAACGGGCACAAAGAAGCCACTCGTGTACTGCTTGAACAAGGCTCTGACATCAACGCACAGATAGAGACAAATAGGTGGGCTTTAAATCTATTCTCTCATCAATTTTTGACTCTCACTTGTTACAAACTACCCTCGCTGTTGGATAACTTTTATTTCATTATTCGCAATTATTTATATCAGTGGGAGAACAAAAGTTGGCGTTTTCTTTATTGGCGATGTGTTTATGCTTTTATTAAGGAACACGGCATTAACGCTAGCATGTTTTCAAGGAAGAACGGAAGTTGTGGCACTTTTACTGCAATATAACGCAAACGTTGAACATCGAGCAAAGGTAGATGTTCTTTCTTTACACCAAGCTTTGTAATTGCATAATTGAATGGCTTAATCTGCAGACTGGATTGACTCCACTTATGGAAGCAGCGAACGGTGGTTATGTTGAAGTGGGCGAACTTCTCCTAGATGCATGTGCTGATCCAAACACAGCGCCTGTACCATCTAGTCGTGACACTGCTCTCACTATCGCTGCTGACAAAGGTCATGAGCGGTTTGTTGATATGCTTGTGCACCGTGGTGCACACATCGACGCCAGAAACAAGAAGGTAACGCCTAATTTCTTTCAAATACTATCGCATATCTGTTTTGTTGTATATCGGCTCGTTACAGCTTAGAGAATCTGTTTTTCTTAGCGCATTTTTTCGCTTTGATTTGTGGTTTCTTTGTGGATCTGATTCAGTTTTTCTAGTGGTCTCTAAAGATTGTCTTTTGAAGGGTTGCACTGCACTTTGGCTAGCATGTCATGGTGGACATCTAGAAACAGTACAGACTCTGGTGAAGCATGGTGCTGATGTCGATCTTCAAGACAATCGCAAAATGTCACCCCTAATGGTTGCTTTTCGCAAAGGCCACGTTAAGGTATGTTCGTATACTTGAAAGCAGTTATAACTTAAATAGAACCAAAATATTTAAATGTTCAGAGATAAATAGGTAATTATTGTAGCTAAACGTCTTAAAACTTTATATTTATTAT